CAGATTGACGAAGTTATAATTCAAGGGTGATTGAACGTCAACTCAGGTGGACTCAGATGGTCAACAAGATTCAATGTCGTACCACAAAAACTCCCGGGTTCAATTCCCAGTGGGATCGTGAGTGCATCATACTGTGTTGAAGAGTCCCGCAGAAAATTGGGACGAAACGCGTATTCGTATCCAGTGTACTGTGGTGGTGGTGGTGGTTATCAATGATCACTCGCTCATTATGATTTATCAACAGATTTAGGCCATCCTCAGTGGCAAAGAAAAGAACAATATACGTCGAATTAACAACTACCACACCCCACCATATATGTATAAGAACTGTGGACATATTGGTGGAAAAAAAGCAGCGGTTTTCTTTGTGTCCGTCTGATAGAGATAAACAACAATAGACAATAACAAACCAGAAGACGGAGAAGAAGAAGAAGAACATACAGTAAAATATGACATTTACAAGATACATGTACCCACACATATATGTGCATAATTCTGTATATCCTTTCTATAACACAATGATAAACTATCAGGTATATGGAATACATCCCTAGACGGAAAAAATTGATAATGATAATAATAATAGCAGGAGAAGAAGAGGGAAGATATTTTGCTAGATCAAGATCGATCTAAAAACGATTAGAGAGAAATGTCAACAAAAAAAAAATCCCAGACAGCCCAAATTCACAATTTACACAGTTGGAAAGAGGAGGTGACATTCACTCCCCACCACCACCACACACGCATACACAGTCTCCTTTTAAAATCGAAATTATTTAGACCACATAATACCTGGTAAATTGTAATTTTTTTTTTAAAAAAAAAAGTAAAGCATAAATTTGAATAAGGAAGGTATTTAAAAAAGAAGACATATTTCGCCGCGAGATGATATCGTCATTTCGTAGTTTCTGCTTTACAACTGCTAACATGGTTAACAATAATAAAATAAAATACAGATCATGACAATTACTCAAGGGCCTGAAAAATATGCACCAGAGTGATACATTGTGATGGATGAGTTTCGATACATACATTCAGTTTCAGTTCGAAAGAAACGAGTTAGATAAAACTCACAACTTGATAAACCAAAATCTTCAACGACATCAAATTCACAAGAGAAGAGGAATCCGAGAACAAAATACCATTTTTGGACGTCTTAGTCAGGCGAACAACTACAGGAGAATTAGAAACTCAAGTTTATAGGAAATCAACTCACACAGACCAAATACTGAATTACAACAGCAACAACCCAATAGCACACATAAGGAATTGCATACAAACACTATTCAAGAGAGCAAGGACTCACTGCAGCACTCCCACCTTAAGGAAAATTGAAGAAAAATATCTCATGGACGTCTTCCAAAAGAATGGATACCCACGGAATTTCATCAAAAGACATATACCCCCAAGCCAACCTATCAAACCAAAAGCCACCAAGGAAAGCACAAAGAAAATCGCCTTACCATATATAAAGGATATCTCAGAAATCACTACAAGACTCTTCAAACCTTTAAGAATTGACGTCGTACATAAACCAACAAAGTCACTTCACTCAGCTGCTTCTGTGTCAACCAAAAGACTCAGCAGTGAAAGAAGATAGGACCAACGTCATCTACAAAATAAATTGTAACAACTGCGAAAAACACTACATTGGCCAAAATGGATGTCCCCTTCGTCTTCGTATCCACGACCATAAGCTAGCCGTCAAAAGACATGATATCCACTACCTCATGTCACTCACCACATACAGACAACCACGGACATAAATTCAACTGGGACAACCAACGTTCAAATATTAGACAGGGGAAACAACAAGAATGCTAGAGAATTTTTAGAAGCCAGTCTGGTATTCCAGTGGATCATCAATCAATAGACACATAGAGATAGACAAAATTTATCAACCGATAAGAAGGTGACCTCACACACAAAGGGTCAAAGTTCAAGTTGCAGAAACAATTAGTTCCAATACAAATAACCTAGAAGGTGTGAAAACACACAAAAACAACCAATCACGTCCAACGTGGTCACCGACCAGGAGAGATGATTAATAAACTCGTGGAGAAATCTAAAAACTCACTTCAATACATTGAAGTATGTGCTGAAGATGTCACCCAGTAGGGTGATGAAAGCTTCGCAAGTTAACCATCCAGCTCAGAGAACACAACGACATCAAAAAACATCCACCTGAGTTACAAATCTTCTCTATCATATCTAAAGCTATTTTTATTAACCTGCCATTCAAGGGCAACCAGATTATGAAGTTGACAGCTAGGTCAAAGACTTCGGTCAGCCATCAAACAAAAACATTCTACGACACATCTCCTTTCCTCACTTGCCGAACATTTTCGATCCCTGTATCTACCTACGATTAAAGGACGAAATTCTGTTGACTCTACTTTAAACTGTATCTACAAGTTCACCTGCAGCTGCGGTGACACCTATACATATGTAGAACCAATAGAATGTTCTACTGTCGTCGTCGTCGAAAACAACATGTTCCAAAATGGCTACTGAATCATATCGAAAATCCCAATGCGATTAATCTGAATAGAAATCCATCATCATCATCATCCATTGCAAAACACTTATTAATGTCAGGTCATAAAATCAATATTAATTAATGACTGTTTCACAATTATTTCATCACATAACTCGAATTCAAGCTTGGTTATTGAAGGTGATGGAAGCACTTTGGGGGGATTAATCGCATACAGCCGAAACTATGTGTACAGTCAAAACAATAGACTCTTCAACCTTCGCCTACCATGAAGTGACTACGTGACCTATTTAAATATGCCACTGGTCATTAGTATGTACTTATGTTTTTTTTATTTAACTGAGTAATTGTCATAAACTTTATTTTATTTTATTATCGTTAACCATGTAGTGCGTCGGTGGCATAGCGGTTAGGACGCTCGCCGACCATGCACATGGTCCGGGGATCGATTCCCGGCCGGCGCAATCCTTTACCTCGCTAAGCCAGAAATAATCCTGGTAAAGAGGAAAGGTTGGGCATGAGCCTAGCAACCTCATCCTGTAAAATAAACACTTCTACAGAAACTTCAAGCCACTAGCTTGAAGTCCTATGTTCCACAGGAGAACGTGAAGGAAAAATTATTATTATTATTATTATTATTATTATTAACCATGTTAGTAGTTGTAAAGCGGTTGTAAACAAACTACAAAATGACGATATCATCTCGCGGCGAAATTTGTCTTCTTCTTAAATGCCTTTCTTATTCAAATTTATCAAAGGGATTAATTGTTTTAATTCTCTTAAAGCATAAATACCTGGTGTTACATAGCACTGATGGATTCATATGAGTAGTTATATCCCACCCATACCAACCAGTAGTGCTTACTAGATAGGTAGATAGATAGATCGAAGATCTAAGCCCCGGATGACCGTTTCACTTGTTTGAGGTGGTGTACCCGCGATGACTTAACTCAGAGAATAAGGAAAATACATGAGTCACAAAAAGAGGCCTCTCTCTCTCCGTAAATTTACATCAATAATAGACACAAGTCCATGAACATCGTCAAAAAGGGAATGTAGAACAGTTAACAACTGAATTCTCGGAGGATATTATTACTTCTGGTCATGCAATATCAGATAGAAGAGATTGACATTTACAAACAAGGACAAGTTAAACTTTAAGCACCACTAACCACCAATCAGCGAACGACGTCGAATTATCCAATGAGATTTGCGAACGTTAGTTCAATGTTGTATAGCGCTTGATTTATTTCAAATGCGTGTCCTAACAAGGTTACGGTCGCAATTCGAGGAGGATAGTGTTTTCTAGTATTGCCTGTATTTAGGGTTGTTCCGGAAGGGGAGAACTTGTTCGTGCGGTGGTGTCATGACTTTAAAAAGCTATAGCAGGTCAACTGATGGATTTGTCCATCGTTGTGCAATATGCTTGTAGAGAGTTAGCATTAGAGAGGGTAAGCTGATAATTTTTTGCAAGGTCACACCTCTCCTTGATGTAAATGTTGTATATTTGCAACTACTGGGTCTTGAAACAGCCAATGAGAGCCGCAGCTGCTGAGACGGAGAATAGCCTCGTCTCAACAGTTCAATGGTATCAGCATTGCTTCTTGGAAAATGGAGAGAATCAATTCTTTGTTGGATGGAGAAGACATTGATTGTTGTGCACGTCGACGAACTGTGTTGGTGAAAAAGAAATACAACCGTGGTTTCCAGCGAGCAAACAATATTTGGGTAATAGGTTTATACGATACCTTCCTCCAAAAAGGATTCGTGGAAAGAATAGCGGATAGAAAGGCGACTGCTCTAATACCTATTATTACGAGACTTGTAAAACGGGGATCAATAATACACACAGACGAATGGAAAGGTTACAATTCCCTGTCATCTCTGGGATATATTCATCATAGAGTCAACCATTCAAGTGATATCAATAATTCAAAGTGCACCATATAACGGCAAACCATCTAGCAAGATGGCCACACATCGCCAACTTGACCAACTAATAGAATCCACTCTGTACCGAACAAACGACTAGTTACTGTAGAGTCCAATAAAGAAAAAAAGCAGCAGTTCCACTGAAAAATAATCAGGTTTTCATTTTAACATCTAGCGAAGATAAAAGAACATAACTTCACTCCCCAGATTATAGACACGCTTCAACACTGAAAGCCTGTCGGTGGAGGAACCATGGTAGGAGGCTGCTCGAACCAACCACACCACCACCTCACGAAATTCGCAGTTCGACTTACCGTCTGACTCACTACTCCTAAACGTCGCTTAGTCAGTCAGCCAGTAGTAAACCTGGTGGTAAAGAGGAAAAGGTTACAGGCGTGAGACTAGCAACCCCGTTCCACACCTCTAAAATAAAGTAAATCACCGCTAATTTTTGAAACTTCACAACTCAAGAGCTAAAAACACTCTACTAAGACCATTCCACTCAGAATAGAACGCAGAATGAAATGAAAAAGTAATCGTAATAATAATAAGAAGAAGAATAGGAACCAACTTTTTCCAATTCCCGTGATTTTTGGCTGTCCATTAAATAACCAGTAAGGGATAACTTGATCATTTGATGAAGTACACTTGAATTGAACAGTTTCACCGAAACGATGAATAAAAACATCTTGTGGTTTTGTAGTTAACCGTAAACGTCCTGTAGGTGAAAAACACAATAAACACAATCGAAAAAGGTTAATTAATAATAAGTTAGTTAAACTAAAGTGTTATTGTGTGTGTAAAGGCTTCTTCTTCTTCTTATCTTCGCTACATGAAAAATCTATTTTGAATTGAGCGAAAAAGCAGCCAGCTAAGACTGGAATCCAAGTGAACACAGAGAAGACACAGGTGATGATGCATATTAGTGAGTAAGTGGTGTCTTCTGCAAGAATATCGCGCAATAGTGAGTAAAGTTAAATACCAATGAAGAAGAAAAATGCTTGGCAGAAGTCTACACACACCAACGGATACAGAATATTTGAGTCCAGCATAATTAACGGGAAATGCGTCGGTGGTACAGAGGTTAGAACTCTCACCGACCATGCATATGGCGCTGGCGGGGGGGGGGGTTCGATCCCCTGCCGACGGACATTCGATATCAATGGTCGGCTTGCGAAATTGGGCTACCGATATCACATGCTGAAAATTCAATACTTGCACCAGAAATACGGTGTGGAATCAAGCCATAATCTATATATATACGCATGTACAGCTTACCTAAAGTGCACAAACAAGACGCCCTATTCCGCCCAATACTAAATATGATAGATTCCCCATATCATACAATCGCGAAGTGGCTGGTGGAGGTTCTCGGGCTGGTGAAAGAGAAGCTGTCAAGACACAACCTCCGTGACACACTTGACTTCGTTGATTCAATTAAGAATGTCGACATGGCAGAAAAGAAAATGGTCTCCCTGGATGTCGTGTCTCTCTTCACCAAAGTTCCATTGACAGAAACTGTATGTTTCCTTTGTGACTACATTCAATCCAATAGCATCGATGTCAGTATACCGATCCATTACGTGGAAGAACTGTTACTACGATGCACCTTCAACGTATACTTTAGTTTCAACAAGGAAATATACAGGCAAGTAGATGGAGTAGCAATGGGTTCTCCCTTAGGACCCCTCCTAGCCGACTGCTTCATGGCTAACCTAAAAAACAACCCCTTATCACCAACTATCAACGACCTCCATTTCTATAAGTGACACATCGATGGTATTTTCATTATTTGTGATGAGAATTGTGATTAAAAAAACCTACTTCAAATCTTCAATAACGCCCACCCAAACATCAACTTTACACTTGAGACTGAATCTGACGGAATGTTCCCTTTCTCGACGTCCATCTGACAAGAAACGCCAACAACTCTCTGAAAAGGTCCATATACAAAAAGCCTACATGGAATGAACAATTCATCAACTTTCAAAGCTCTGTGGCACTAAGCAGAAAGAGGAACCTGATACACGCTCTTCCCTTGAGGATTCGGAAGATATGCAACGAGGAAGTGATTGAAGAAGAACTGAGTTGTCTCTAAATAAAAAACCCTGATGGAAAACGGTTTCCCACCTAGGTTCATAGACAAGAATCTCAAATGTAAGAGGACTTCCGAACAAGTCCAATCCATTCCAAAGAAAATACTTCTGCTTAATCTAAAATTCAAAGGTTATATTGAAGCAGAAATCTTTCGTAAACGCCTCTCCAAATCGCCGAGGAAAACATTATATATATATATATATATATATCGCAAATTGGGAGAAGTTAGAATTAATACGCTGACCACTGGATCGCATCCCAGTGGCTGTGAATAGTCTACAAGATTGCTGGCCTTGTAACCGGAAGAAGGATCTCGAGTTCGAACCCTGACAGTGAGTGTGTGCTGATGATGAAGAGACCTAAGAAACTAGGACTAAACAGCTGTCCGTCCAGCAGCTCCACCCCCCCCACCCTTGTGGGTTTACCAATCAACCAATCGTATTCTCCAACTACTGATGACAACACTAATGAGATCAAATCAGATATTACCGAATTAATCTAAAAATAAAAATAGTTTTCATAAAAAAAACTTCGCAAAGAAACAGCGTCATTTTTATTGTCTATCAGACAGAAAAGTGGACATTATTTCTGGAAGCGCAAGTGATACAAAAAAATAATAAAAAAAAACTGGAGAGGAAAACAAACAGACATGCAAAACAACGGAGTGAAATCAGCAATAAAAAATTAACAATCTAACAAAACTACTACCACTACAACATACTTTGTACACGCAATTGAGTTGTAGAACTTAGCTGATGATTTGTGCATATGTAGATACCAGCATCGCTTGGTTGGACATTTGTTATTTCCAGTAGACCTGAGACACAGACGAAAATTGATCAGAGAAAAAAGACAGTTATGTATAAATAACAAAAATATTCATTCAGACATCTATTAAAACACAAAATAATTGAGCCAGCAAAGAATATCCTTTTCGATAAATTCCTCCACTTCCGGCTCTACAATTATAGATATGCATGTTTATATACATAGAAAAATTCTAGATTAGTAGTCACTAAAAAAATATGAGTGTTTTTCAAAATAAAATCGATTTGTAATTATGCTCCTGTCCATTCCAAGCAAAATACTAAGCCAAATCACCCTGGAGGGAATTAAACACGCCAACCAGGATGAAAAACTTCGACTCGACACAAACCTGGATTGACGAGAAACAAGTCATGTATTGATCAAATCGCCACACTATGGATCATCATTGAACAAAGCTTGGAATGGCAGTCACCTCTCTCCAACTCACTCAACTTCATCGACTTTGAAAAGGCCTTCGATAGAGCAGTGTCGATCGGGAGGTGATTTGGCAGCTATTTTTCGCTACTACGGGGTTCCATCGACAATTATACATCTCATCCAATAGTTATATGACAATGCTGCATGCTAAGTAATCCACAACGGGAAACTTACGGAAGCCTTCGAAGGGAGGACGGGAGTGAGGCAAGGCTGTCTACTATCGTCAATGGTTTTCCTGATTGCAGTAGATTGGATAGTGTGACAGACAACGGGAGATGAGGAAACAGGCATAAAATGGACTCACACAAAAAAACTTGAAGGATCTGGACTTCGCCGATGATATATGTCTGATTTCCCACAAACTGGAAGATATGCAAGTGAATAGCAACAAGTTTGCAGAAGAAGCATCGAAGATAGGTAGGACTTCAGGTGAACATGGAGAAAGTAGAGGTAGGTGATGAAGATTTCTGGCCAATAGCAACAGCAACAACAACAGACAACAATCAACCAGAATAAATGGGAGGAACCTGAAAGAAACAACCTCCTTTACCTACCCTATTTACCTACCTGTGAAGTGTCGTCTCAACTACAGGCGGACGGAACTGATGAGGATATCAAAGCAGCGAGGATCGGGAAAGCAAGACAAACTTTCATTACTCTCAAGTAAGTCTGTGTGAAAGTCAACAGCACTTAACATGAAAAATAACATCCGGATTTTCAACTACAATGTGAAGTCAGTGCTACTTGCTATACGGATCAGAGACTTGGCCAGTGCGTCATGAAGAGCATCCCAAACAAACTTCAGACCTTCATCAACAGCTGTATTCGCTCAATACTCAAGATCAGATGACTTGTCAGAAAAGGTCAGTAGCAGAGATCTCTGGGAGCAAACCAACCCAGCCAGAAACCGATTGTGCAACAAATAGGCCGGAAGAAATGGAGATGGATTGGCTGGCCATACTCTGAGGAAACCATCAAGTGAGTGACATCACTAGACAAGCCATTGCTCGAGTGGAACCCAACCGAAAAGGAAGCGGCGAGTTGGTCGTCAGTGTATAGGTGACTTGGAGGAGGTCATGTGAAGAGGAGATAAAAGCATGTGGACAGACTTGGTGCGGGATGAAAGAGTTGGCAGACAACCGAAGGCAATAGAGACGCGCAGCTGAAGCCCTATGTTCCTCTAGGAATTAAAGGATATAATAATAGTAAAGTAAGATCACGATGGAATTACAGTCCACTAAAGATGATAATAATTAAGATATAGTAGCAAATAGAATATCAATTAAAATTAGGAAAATTCAACAAAAATTGAGGATCATTCAAACCTATATGGTCAAAGTAAGGACAATGTCTGAACTGGCTTGTTTTGGACACATAAATTAGGCTTCCTAATGTGAATCCCAACAACCAGCCTCAACAATATTAAGTAATCGAACTTTTAAGGCGAAATTGAGATTCGTTGGTATGCTGTAAATGACTTTGAAAGTCGCCTCGTTAACAATTAATCGTGTGTTCTGTATCCAAAAGATGAGATAGAATAGCGCTACGAATAGATTTTGTTTGTCCTTTACTCAATCATGCAGGGTGGTGTTTTGAAATCAGACGATAAGCATGCCCAATTGTACGGCCTATGCAACTAACTGGCTCGCTCCACAGAAGCATTTAAACTGGCAGATACACATGGGAGAGGCAAAATTGTGCAGTACACAAGATTGATGTCAATGTGGCGACTTTCACAGTCATCTACTACATACCAACAAATCATAACTTCGCCTTAAAAGTTCGTTTACTTAATATTGCTGAAGCTGTTGGGATCCATATTAACAAGTCTAATTTATGTGTTCAAAAGAAGAAGCCAATTCAGACATTGTCCTTACCTTGGCCATCTAGGTTTGTATAATCTTCAATTTTTGTGGAATTCTCCTAATTTTAGTTGATATCCTATTTGCTACTATATCTTTATTATTATTATTATTATCACTATTATTAATATTATAGTTTAAGCATTTTTTTTCCAATGGTTCTCTAACCAATGTCAGTTCATGATGATATCCTGCAACCATTCAATCTAATCTCCCCACAAAGCAATACTTGAATATAAATGACATGCTCTCTGGCAACTGGCCCTATTCAGGTAAGTAGTTACCTGGGGTTGCAGTGGGCAGTCATGACCAGTAGGTTGCAGCAGCAGGTCCGGATGTGAGGACAAATACTAGCCACAGATGACATTGGCTAGCGATTGCGCTATATCGTGAATTGGCAGAAGTTAGACGAGTCCCAAATAGGACGAAATGCAGATTCTCGTGGATTCCAAATGGCTAGTCACCATCCACCAATTATATGCATAGGTTATTTATTGAACCAAACCGACAAATGCTTTTGAAAGTTATGAAAGAAAAACAATATTTGAGAGCCAGGGGAGGGTGGCTGCAATATTTTGGTGAATGATTTCCATCACAGAGAGTATGTGTTACGCTTCAATAATTCACTTAAGCATATATATATATATATATATATATATATATATATATATATATATATATATATATATGCACAAGCAAACGCCCTACGTATAAAGACAACTGCCCCAAAGCGTCTGGGGAAGAAATATACACATATGCAAGAGAGATACATTAGGCAGTAACAGTTCGTATAGAATTCCCCTGATATCATCCTCATCCTTATCATCATAGTGATTCATCTTTACACTTCTGCTTTGTTCTTTTCCTACAATCCATAACAACAGAAAATTAACAGAACAAGGCATACAGGTGAATAATAATAATAATAGTAATACTACTGCTCTTTTATTTATGATATTCTTCACTCTTTTCCTCTGATTAATCTATTAATTAATTAATTATTCCTTTTATGTTCCACTTGGAACATACGGCTTCATTCAAGACAGAGCTTTGAAGTGTCGTCGGTCATACAAGAAAAAAAATATCGACAAGTAGAAAAATGGTGGATTGTGAGTGACTAACAGTACTGAAATTCATCAGCACAGGGATTTCATCCTATTTGGGACACGTCAGTTGGTACATCGATCAATATATACTTCAAGTGAAATATTCAAACATAGTCGAAGTATCCAGCGCCTTCATATCTCCCGTAACTGTTCATGAATTTTCTGAGGGTAACCACTGTCTTTCAACATCTGGCATACACCTCCATTAGTTAGTCCTGTACTCTACGGTGCACTTTTACCTGGATCCATGATTGAGTCTAAGCTTTAATCGGCTCCTCAGGTTCACGTCTAACCCCCCTCCCCGTTTCCAATTTGGCTACCACTCGACCAATAATGGCCTGGAGAGATGGCACGATGTCACCCAACGGTCTCTCCCCCAACGTGTGTTAAAAGACAGTTGTAGATAAAATTCCACAGTGGTCATATAAGAAATGCTTTTTCATGACGGACAGTACAAGCTTCTGATTCATACAGGAGACCTGGACAGACTTAACACATTAGTGTTGAAAATCTGAATCTGGTATTGAGTGCTGCAGACCTTCAAAAAAAAAAATTGATATCACAATAATGTAGGTCTAGCTTGCTTTACCAATCATGACCGGGGCTTTAACATCCTATAGTTGAAACAATGCTGCCTAGTCAGATAAATGAAAGAAGTGACCACCTTCAAATTTCTTCTGCTGATAGTGATTGGTCACTACTTCTTGTTGGTTGACTTGTTACCCTCATCATCTCCATCTTCTCCTTCCAACACTAGTTCGTTTTCAAGTATTGCCTTGGTTGATTGGTTGCAGGATTTCACCGTGGACTGACATTGGTTAGGAAGCCACTGAAAAACCAGCTCAGATTAGTGAACAGTTGTTTCGTCCTAGTTTAGGACTCTTCATCAGTACTCACCTACAACACGGGGTTCGAACACATGTCCTTGTGGTTACAAGGCGAACTAGCTCGTAGACCATTCATCACCCACTGGGACCCAATCCAATGACCAACTAGCCCATGAATTTTAACTTCTGCCAATTCACGATATACCGCAAACGCTGGCCAGTGTCTTCGGCGAGTATTTGTCCTCACACCCGATCTGGTGCACCCTACTGTTCACGGCTTCCCACTAGAACCTCAGGTAACTACCTACCTACCTGACTAGGGCCAGTCGCTTTTGTCTGTAAGTCTTTGAATTTATGCGACATTAGACATAAATCATCCGAGAAGCCCAGATCTCTCAGACTCCTGCCTTTATCAGAAGTAGTGGTTATGATATGAAAGCAACTAATCAAGCCCAGCTTCCTTGAACAATATTATTACAAAACAAAGATGAAAATAAGCTTCAGATAGACTAGTATATCAACTGCTTTCATAGACTTAAAACCTCTAATGAAAATCATGGACAAACTAATAACACACACCCCCTCATCAAGCACCCGATGTCCCCTTACTTCCCACCCCATGGCATTTAAAAGCTTAAATCAACCAACCAAACGCTTACCAAATGGATTGTGCCGATGAAATCGATTTTGAGCAGTTTTATTAGGTTCAAATGGATAAGTGGTTACTGTTTGTGGCGGTGCGCTTTGTATAATACAGAATAAAGAGACATTTTGACCCTCCCTAACAGTTATCTCTTGTGATGCAGCTGCATTCCTCGGATCACTTGATTCCGAAGCCATTGGAACACGAATTTTTCCAGAGACAGGACCACCTGGAACTGTAAAACATAAGGTAAACCACAAGATTAGTGAACATGTTATATAAATAATAATAATTTGAAAACAGTATTTATGATACACAGGGTGGAGTTCTCAGCATTCGATACAATATTCCATCAAATCTATTCGACGACAGCAAAAACACAGGATACCGGTATCTTCGAGTCCTTGTACTTCGTTGAACGCTGAAATCTTTTATAGTGTGGCTTCTGGTTCTATCTTATGAGATGCATGGTGAGGAGAGTTGTGAATAAAGAGAGAGAGAGAGTGGATTTAGACTATTTTTTTTCACATGAATTCAGGTAGATGTCTGTCGACTGAATGGTGATACACCACTCGCCTATCCCGCTGACAACCTCTTCAGTACCCCCCCCCCTCCGTTCACAATAGTCCTTTTTTAGTAGCCCAGGAAAGAAGACTAATTGATTGTCTTCACTTCCTAATGTAAAAGGTGATATTTAGACGGAACATTGTTTTAGCAATCGACAAGTTGTGGAATGATCGACCAAGAAAGGTTAGAGGATCGAAATTATTCCAAGGTATTTTATGCTTGACTTAGTCCCTATTTAAGTGATCGTCTCTACGCAAGTATCTTGTGAACAAAACAGTTCGTACACATCACGTTTATTGCTTGAAGATGTAATTAACTACCTGACATTTAGAGGGATGTCCATCGCATGTAAGTGTCGAAATACTGGAAGACATATATGTGGACAATGACACATAACACCTGCACACTCCAATATCACTCAAAAAAATTGTGTACAAACATTATTCAAAAGAATTTAATTGATGGGGGGGTGGGGGTAACAAGCCATTTGGAATCCACGAAGATGCGCATTTCGCCTACTAAATGTACCTGAAATCCACAGTGAGTGATAATGTTCTCACCGAGACTTGAACCCAGTGTCCATAGTTTCAAACGCCAGTTGAAGCGTTATCCACTAGACCAGTTGAACCACGATGGCCACCTTTTTCTTGTGCAACAACGGGTCATATTAATTATTTAACTGAATTTTAGATTTTCCCATCGATTGATTGGACCGAAGTAGTACTAGGTCTCAGGTTCACATGTCGGCTTCTTGTGCAGATGCTTCGACGATGTCTGGGAATGTAATTAGAATTCATTCAATTGGTGGTTGGTGACAAGCAGTGGAATCCAGGATATAGCGCGCAGTTCGTCCCATTTGGGACTCGTCAGCCACTAGATGTACCTGTCAACCTGAGATCGAGCACTACTTCGATTCAATCAATCGACGAAAAATCCAAAATTCAATTAAATAATTATTCAAAAGAGTTAAAACACACTGGAGAACTTGCAAAATATACAGTAGAAGTATTCATGAACTGTTGTCTTCAAGAAAAATGCATACACCTACACAATTTCATTAAAAAAGTGTTTCTAAATTCAAATCGAACTACCAACAAAAACAAAACTATCTTCAGAAAACATGAGAAAATTTATCCTACCACACATTTCTGAAGTAACACCTAGGATGCTAAAAATCGTTTGGACTGGATATCCCACACAAATCAACACAGTCATTTCATCATTCAATACTATGCAGACTAAAAGATCCTACAGCAAAAGAAGACAAGATTAACACACCATCTATAAAAAAAAAAGTTACATACGCTGTGATAAACACTACATCAGCCCGATTGAGAGTCAAGAGCATAAAGTGGTTTGTCAAGAGTGAACTATAGGCATCAGTTTGCTTGAGAAGGATGTAGGAATACCCAAAAATGACAGAGAAGTATTCTCAAGTGTTGGTTTGCAGGGATTTGATGATTGATGCTCACAGGTTTGACATCACGACTTGACATCAGTAAGAGAACCACTGGGAAATCAACTAAGGACTACTACTGGACATCTGTTTCCTCCGGCCTAGTTTGCGACTATACGGCAGTATGTACCCACTGTCAGGATTCGAAGTCAGGACCTTCCAATTACAAGTTAAGCTTGTGCATTATTCAAGATACTGGGAGTCAATTCAATAGCCAACCCCCACCCAAACCAGATAATTTCATGGGCAGGTAACTGAGGTCTTACCTTACTTGACTCAGTAGACCCTACTAGTCGCTACTTCTCACTAGAACTTCATGCAACTTTGTTCTCTAGCCAGTTACTACCGAGCATCAGTCGGCCTTTAATGGTTCTCTCCCTAACTAATATCAATTCGCGGTTTTGGAAGTTTAAAGAACTCAAATCCCCCTCCTTCCTACAAACTAACTCTTGACTGAGTAGACTCTGAAGAGACCGATATATCAAAAGCCTACGTGGAACAAAAACTGAGAGACTTTTACAATTAGGGACGCATCAATCGCAAGCAGAATCTGAAGAATCCACAGTCCCGAATCAGAAGAAGTAAACATCAATTATTTGAAGAAGGTACTACTTGAGAAAGGCGGCAATTCACCATGCTATATAGATAAACACATAAAGCTGAAAATCAACAACCAAAAACCCATCTCTATGCCAAAGAAAATGCTATACATGAATCTGCTGTTCAAAGATGAACTTCTGGCTGACATCCTGAAGATGAGAATGTCTAACGCCCTGAAAAGAACATTCTTCGTTGCTACATCACGATTGGTATTCTCAAACCCCCGCCTATTGTTCTTGAACAACCCCGATCATAAACTATCGTATTTGACCACCTCTATGTGTATCTACCTATCAATTCACTTGCTCATGTGTAGTGAACGAGGCAGATATATGAGTCGTTCGATGCATGTTTTATCTCAAACAGTTAAAGAGCATTCTTTATTCCGCTTGGCTACGCAAAGGTGACAGTGGATCTCAATAAGCAGTGCTATAATTGAACATTGATCAATCAATATACGTAAGGAGAATTCATTTAAATCATCTACAAGGTCAAAATAAACCTCCAACCCTATTTTAAAAAACGGGAAGCTTCCGTAAACTTTGCATTGCTGAATGAGTGAGGCTTTAGCGATCTGGATGGGAAACTCTTATGCATGCGTACAAAAAAAGAGACTTCTCCACTCCCTTCTTCTACACTGGGTATAATTCCACGTTCTACCACCTTGTTAATAATGCCTTACTCTTTCTGCCTATTACATAATTTACTCTGGAAACTTGTCTTCATGCTCTTTTATCATTAACACTTGAAAATCAATAGTAAAAAAAAGTTGTAAGGGAGAAGAATTAGGGTAACGAAGAAGGAAGACAGGTAGGCAGGCAGGCGGGGGAAAAGAAAAAGAAATAATCCATCAAGCAAGGAATAATTTTCAACAAACAAATACAATCACACACCGACAACAACAACAACAACAACGCTCGTAGAGAAAGACAAAATAAATACAAGAGAAGGACATAAAGATTTGTCTTTACGAGTTTGACCACGCACGGATCGATATCAGTTAGAGAACCATTGAAAAATCAGTTAGGGAGTACTGGACAGCTAGCTGTCTCATTCTAGTTTGGAAATCATCGACAGTAGGTACCTACCCACCGATCAGGGTTCGAACCCAGGACCTTGAAGTTGCAAGCAAGCAAGCACGCATACATTCAGCCACTGGGACCCAACCCCATTCAATGGCCAGTTCACAAATTCTAACTTCTACCAATTCGTGATTTAGAGCGACCGGCGCCAACCAATATCATCGGTGAGACATCTATCCATCTTCACACTTGACTGGATGGATCTGATGCTCGCTAGTGACTTGCTATAGGACAAAGTTTTCTGAAGCTCTAGTAAGAAGCCGTGACCAGTGAGGTCCAATGACATTGGTTGGCGCTAGTTGCGCTAAATTACGAATTCTTAGAAGTCAAAACTCATGCGCTGGTAATTGAATCAGGTCCCAGTGGCTGAAAGGTATACGAGCTTGCTTGCTTGTAACCGGTAGGCCTTGGGTTCGAACCCTGATAGGTGGGTAGGTTACTAACGACTATTCTCAAACCAGGCTGATATAGTAGTCTATCTGAAGCACATTTTCATCTTTGTTTTGTAATAATATTGTTCAAGGTAGCTGGGCTTGATTAATTGCTTTTATCATAACCACTACTTCTGATAAAGAGAGGAGTCTGAAAGATCTGAGCTTCACTGATGATTTATGTCTAATATCACATAAATTCAAAGACTTACAGATGAAAACGACCGGGGGGGTTCTAGTGTGAAGTCGTGACCAGTAGGATGCAGCAGGTTTGTCTGTCTGTCTGTCTCTTTTCGACATAGAACTTTGCACAAATGTGCGGAAGTTCAAGTCGCCACACTCCGTGTAGCACGCGAAGCAAGAGAAGAAAGTACAAGAAAAGCATAATAGAAACAGTGAGCAGAGGTGTGAGACATAGGAGTAATAAAGAAAAACAAAACAGTTTCATTGGAGATCATAAGTCACAAGGAGTGGATGCATCTGCGCCACTGAGAACGATGAGTTTGAGCCATGTCACCAATTGTTTCCAACCATAGATTTTTACCGTCTCGAGGACCCCAACCAGTCAGGAAGTCTACACCTTCCTACGTGGCTTAGACCAACTGTTGTGGATTTCATTGACTGGTGCCAAGTATTTGTTTGACCGCCGCTAGCTTTTTTCCAGTCTGAACTTACATCCGCTAACATTGCTCGTCGAGGGAGGCGATGGCTTGGCATACGTAACACATGTCCTAACCATCTCAGTCTTTGTAGCTTCACGACTTCGTCGATTGATTTCCCCTGTTTACCTAGAACTCTACGCATAACCTCCATGTTACTCACCTTATTATGCCACTTTACACGGGAAATAGAGCGCAGGCACCTATGATCAAAGACAGCTAGTCTTTTCATGTCTTCCACTCTCAGTGGCCAGGTCTCACCCACAGCCATAAAGGAGGACGGAGTGGACTGATGAGCAGCAGGTTGGGTGTGTGAGGACAAATACTCGCCACAGATGACATTGGCTAGTGTGTCAGTCGCGCTATATCGTGAATTAGCAGAAGTTAGAATTCATGGGCTAGTCGGCCATTGAATAGGGTCCCAGTGACTGATGAATTGT